CTAGGAAGATTCGCCTGTTGATGCTGATCAAGAATATATATGATTTATGGGGTCGGAAATGACTGCTTCACTGCGTTTTTCGCTTCGGACTAAATTGTAATACCATTTTTTAGTAGATATTTACCAATATTTTTATATGAAAATTTGTCCTAAAACCAAATCTTACAAATCTCGTAGCTCAGCCAAAAAGGCATTAATTTAAATTCGGACAGCGGTCCTGTGTTAGTTTTTGCCACGTTAATAAATCTGCATACTCCATTTACCATCTTAAAAAATACGGTTTTCTGCCAATTTTTGGCAATTATAAAATTTTGCAAAAATCGAAAAAAATTTGTTTGCCTGGAAGATGGCTAGGAAGATTCGCCTGTTGATGCTGATCAAGAATATATATGATTTATGGGGTCGGAAATGACTGCTTCACTGCGTTTTTCGCTTCGGACTAAATTGTAATACCATTTTTTAGTAGATATTTACCAATATTTTTATATGAAAATTTGTCCTAAAACCAAATCTTACAAATCTCGTAGCTCAGCCAAAAAGGCATTAATTTAAATTCGGACAGCGGTCCTGTGTTAGTTTTTGCCACGTTAATAAATCTGCATACTCCATTTACCATCTTAAAAAATACGGTTTTCTGACAATTTTTGGCAATTTTAACGATGTAACCCCTTATAAAATTTTGCAAAAATCGAAAAAAATTTGTTTGCCTCGAAGATGGCTAGGAAGATTCGCCTGTTGATGCTGATCAAGAATATATATGATTTATGGGGTCGGAAATGACTGCTTCACTGCGTTTTTCGCTTCGGACTAAATTGTAATACCATTTTTTAGTAGATATTTACCAATATTTTTATATGAAAATTTGTCCTAAAACCAAATCTTACAAATCTCGTAGCTCAGCCAAAAAGGCATTAATTTAAATTCGGACAGCGGTCCTGTGTTAGTTTTTGCCACGTTAATAAATCTGCATACTCCATTTACCATCTTAAAAAATACGGTTTTCTGCCAATTTTTGGCAATTTTAACGATGTAACCCCTTATAAAATTTTGCAAAAATCGAAAAAAATTTGTTTGCCTGGAAGATGGCTAGGAAGATTCGCCTGTTGATGCTGATCAAGAATATATATGATTTATGGGGTCGGAAATGACTGCTTCACTGCGTTTTTCGCTTCGGACTAAATTGTAATACCATTTTTTAGTAGATATTTACCAATATTTTTATATGAAAATTTGTCCTAAAACCAAATCTTACAAATCTCGTAGCTCAGCCAAAAAGGCATTAATTTAAATTCGGACAGCGGTCCTGTGTTAGTTTTTGCCACGTTAATAAATCTGCATACTCCATTTACCATCTTAAAAAATACGGTTTTCTGCCAATTTTTGGCAATTATAAAATTTTGCAAAAATCGAAAAAAATTTGTTTGCCTGGAAGATGGCTAGGAAGATTCGCCTGTTGATGCTGATCAAGAATATATATGATTTATGGGGTCGGAAATGACTGCTTCACTGCGTTTTTCGCTTCGGACTAAATTGTAATACCATTTTTTAGTAGATATTTACCAATATTTTTATATGAAAATTTGTCCTAAAACCAAATCTTACAAATCTCGTAGCTCAGCCAAAAAGGCATTAATTTAAATTCGGACAGCGGTCCTGTGTTAGTTTTTGCCACGTTAATAAATCTGCATACTCCATTTGCCATCTTAAAAAATACGGTTTTCTGCCAATTTTTGGCAATTTTAACGATGTAACCCCTTATAAAATTTTGCAAAAATCGAAAAAAATTTGTTTGCCTCGAAGATGGCTAGGAAGATTCGCCTGTTGATGCTGATCAAGAATATATATGATTTATGGGGTCGGAAATGACTGCTTCACTGCGTTTTTCGCTTCGGACTAAATTGTAATACCATTTTTTAGTAGATATTTACCAATATTTTTAAATGAAAATTTGTCCTAAAACCAAATCTTACAAATCTCGTAGCTCAGCCAAAAAGGCATTAATTTAAATTCGGACAGCGGTCCTGTGTTAGTTTGTGCCACGTTAATAAATCTGCATACTCCATTTACCATCTTAAAAAATACGGTTTTCTGCCAATTTTTGGCAATTTTAACGATGTAACCCCTTATAAAATTTTGCAAAAATCGAAAAAAAATTGTTTGCCTCGAAGATGGCTAGGAAGATTCGCCTGTTGATGCTGATCAAGAATATATATGATTTATGGGGTCGGAAATGACTGCTTCACTGCGTTTTTCGCTTCGGACTAAATTGTAATACCATTTTTTAGTAGATATTTACCAATATTTTTATATGAAAATTTGTCCTAAAACCAAATCTTACAAATCTCGTAGCTCAGCCAAAAAGGCATTAATTTAAATTCGGACAGCGGTCCTGTGTTAGTTTGTGCCACGTTAATAAATCTGCATACTCCATTTACCATCTTAAAAAATACGGTTTTCTGCCAATTTTTGGCAATTTTAACGATGTAACCCCTTATAAAATTTTGCAAAAATCGAAAAAAAATTGTTTGCCTCGAAGATGGTTTTCACTTCGGACTTAATTGTAATACCCGACCATTAAAATCTATCTACCTGCAGTTATTGATTCCATTCAAGCCGAAATGCCGGCCAGTTTGGCCTTTGTTTGTCCAACCCTTTTACATCGGTGTTTTATTTTCAATTATTTATTTTTATTTTTAAAAATAGGCAAGACATTTTTTATATTATTACTAAATTAATTATTAAATTATTATAATAATTATTACTAAATACTTATACTTATACTTATAGAAGATATTAGGCATAAAACTAGTGTACTAAATATTCTGGCTGTCTTTCTATCGATAAAAATGAAGCCATTATAGTCATCTTTCTAATAACTCCCTTTAGCGACTTCAAACCAATAGTTCATTGTACTTACTTTGCATTTTCATTCTATTTCCGACAGAACATCAACCCCAAGCTGTTGAACATGGCCATGAACGGTGGCTACAACAAGCGCGGTGGCGGCATGGGCGGCTATCGTGGCGGCAATGGTTACCAGGGTCGCAACCAGCAGATGGGCGGCGGCGGTTACAATGGCGGCAACAACTACCGTAACAACAACGGTCCCGGTGGCAACATGAACCGCAGTGCCTTCAATGGCAGCGGTGCTCCACCGCGTTTCGATCAGAAGCCGCGCACCTCTCCGCCAAATCAGGGCGGAAATGGAGGATACCGTGGTCAGGGCGGCGGCGGCTACCAGGGTCAGCATCAGCAGCAACAGCAGCAGAACGGTGGAGTTTCATTCTCGCGCTTTAATCCCAATGCCGCTTGCTTCGAGCCCAAGACACAGAACGCTCCGGGAGCACCGGGATCGCAGCAGCAAGCACAGCATCAGCAACAGCAACAGCAGCAGCAGCAACAGCAGCAGCAGCAGCAGCAGGCGCAGGCTGCCCAGCAGCAGCACCTCCTGGCTGATCCCTCAGCGGCAGCCGCCTACGGGATCGATCAGAAGCGCTCTCGCTTCTCGCCGTACAACATGAACTTCGCCAATATGCCGCCACCGATGAACCAGCAGCAGGCCGCCCAGCAGCAACAGGCGGCGGCGGCGGCAGCAGCAGCGGCTGCGGCAGCCGCACAGCAGCAGCAGCACCACCAACAACAGCAACAGCCGGCGCTGGCGGCCGCTGCCCCAGGAGGGGGAGGAGCTATGCCGCCACAGGCCTACGGCCAGTACTCGTCGATGTCCTCCAGCATGGCCACAGTGTCGCTAAACGGCGGAGCTACAGCCAATATGGCAGCCAACTCGTACCGCGCCCAGTATGCAGTGCCCACGCAGGCGGCCCCCTATATGATGGCCAACAGTGGAGACATATTCGCCTACCCGCCGCCCCCGCTGCCTGTGCAGAACTAGAGGCTCTAAATAGTTCGAAAGATGCTACCAAATTGTAGATCCCGCTCTACACTGTACTTTCGCTTCCCCCAACACACAAACATACACGAACATAAGACACGCACATCCTCCCAAGGACACGCAAGAGAGAATAATCGAACACAATTCACGAATCACAAGGTTCACAGGGAAGATGTTAGATGAGCGTCGTTGATATATATAGTACGTTCCGTGTAGATCTCCTCCGCCCACGTCATAGCTATATAATATGGTTTAATCTGGAATCAAATACGCTTTTTAATTTGATATAAATCTTATTGTTTACCCCTTCCCCATGAACAGAATGAAAGAAATTCCCAATTTAGTTCATAAGCTTTTGGTTTAGTCAAATTGTTAGGGCATTCGAGTGCCGATCATCGATGTTTGTTGGCATTTATCACACTTTCCAAGGCCCTGGGCGTATTTGATTTCCCAATCTATACAATTCTCGAATATTGTACATTAATATTATTCATTATTCCAACACATAACACACACACAGTGCAAAAGAAATGTTTGCAATGCTCCAAAACTAAAAATAGAACCCAAGCCAAAACGAGATTAGATGAGAATCGGTCAACTAGATGAATCTTCGAAACTAGGGAATCGAACTCCCAACCAACTTTCAAACGCTATCGGACAAACACGTACATATTAAGAAACAATGTCAATTTCTTAGAATCAAATGCGTATTATTATGTCATCTTAAACCATATTATGTGACTAGTCTATTTGAATTACGTAGCAGGATACTTTCAAACAATAATAACAACAAATCAAGAATACAAACAAGAAAAAACACTACAATACTTTCAGATAATATATGAAATGCAATTCCATTTTATGACAGCTCATGAGTATGAATTGATTCAAAAACATATGAATAAAGGAACTAATTAGACGTTAAACTGTGTTTTTATTTCCCCTTATTAACCTTTAGGGTGGGATGGATGAATATCAATTCAGGTAGGATCGCTGTTTAAACTTAATTGATTTGCTTTTATTTTCATTTTTAAATATATATATATATATATATATCCATATAAGAAAAACTATTATACATCAAAAATTAGCATAATAATAAATAGAACTAAATTATACAAATATTTCTAGACAGCATCCATCCGTTAATTGCATTTCCAACGAACATTCAATCGTCTCTTTAATCTTCTTTAATATTTCTTCCTTCCTTTACCATTTTCCAACGTTATTACACCATTTTCGAGAATTTTACGGAAAATATTCTTTAAAAAATGACACCATGAGACATTATGACTAACAAAATTGCGTGAGAATGTATAAGTCATTTGTTTGTTACACTTTATATTATTGATTTGTGTTTGCTATCGGGGTCTATTCCTCCTAGATCCTTTCCTCTTTGTGGCATTTTTAGCATATTTGTATATATTCGCTTTATAACGTTATACTCGCTTCCTAAACCTACATACCTTGCGCTTTCTGATCTGATCCAATTGGCGTATCCGTATCCTAGTCGTTCGCACTCCACTTGGCTGCCTTCTTGAATATTTTTAGTTAATGCTGCTTCTCGTTATTTGTTGCTTCGCTTTTAGGTTTAGTAGTATTTTGTTGCTCTTCTCTCGGGGTTTGTAAGTAGTACGACGCATGTTTGGGGGCTCAATACTTGCCCCCCGGGGTCCTTGTTTTTGTTCTTCTGAGGGTTTGAAACATTGAGTGCAGTTTTACAATTTCTTAATTGATGTTCTTTTTTTTGGCTTTCTTGATTTTTTATCATTGGGGGATTGTTTATAATTTGGTAATTTTTTGTTTTGGTGCTTGTTCTTTGGCTGCAGTTTTGTCCAAAACTGTGTGTGAATGTGGGTGTGCATCAATCCTCCTGCTGCTCCTTCGGTCTGCTGGCTGTTTGTTTACATATATAGATATCACGAGAGTTCCTGCGAGAACTGCGTCTCCAGGGTGGGTCTAGTTCTAGTTGGGTTCCTGCTGGGGTTGCGTATCGGTGGTCCTGGGCTGCCATAGCCCGCGGCATACAGCTGCGGGCACGAGTCTTTTATGAGTTCCTGCGTCTCACGCAACTGCCGCTGCACCTGCGGCGCCAAACGCTGCACGCTGATGGCCGGTGGGAATTTGTATTCCGCCGCCGGTGCGGTCTGAATAGGATAGGACAATAATTACATTTTAATCGGGCTAAAGAAGAGGGGGAAGACTCACCTGTACGCCGTGCATCATATCCCCGTAGTAGGCTCCCGGTGGAGGCGGCGGCTGCTGCTGCTGCTGCTGGCTTTGGCTGTGTGGAGCGGTTGGCGGTTCGTACGATTCGGGGCAATATTGGGTGGTAGAGGAGGAGCGGCCGACGCCGACTGGGGGCAGTGCTCGAGGGTGCGGCTCCATAGTAGGCTAGCTGCAGGGGCCCTCGACCCGCTGCGATTCCGGAAATGGCGCCGGCGCCATTAAGGAAACCACCGCCCGCCCCCAGTTGTGGCCCGGCGGTGATATACTGAACGGAAGGAGGTGGCGCCGGTGGTGGTACCGGGGCCGAGGAGGTGCTGGCATAGATCAGGCGCTTTGGGCTCACGCTTTGCGGCTTGGCTCCGGCGGGAAGGGACAGCAGATATTGCTGTTGCTGCTGGTAGAGCTGCTGCTGCTGCTGCTGCTGCTGGTTAAGTTGCTGCTGCTGCAGCTGAGCGAGCTGTGCTGCTGCCGCCGCCGTGGACGTGTTGACTACGTTGGTCTCCAGCTGCGGCAACAGGATAAGTTGCTGCTGCTGTTGCTGGTAGAGCACCGCGGCCGCTGCCGCCGCCTGCTGCTGCTGCTGGGTCTGGACCTGTTGCTGCTGCTGTCGCCCCGCCATCATATGCTGAGGTAGATACTCCGTCGTGGGTAACGTGACCATTGCGGAGGAGACGACGCTGGCGGCGCTAGAGGGCTGGAGCAGCAGGCCGGCGCCACGTGGTGGCTGCTTCAGCGGCACCTGGACCTGGCGGATGGGTGTGGTCTGCAGCGATCGGCTGGCGGAGGAGCAGATGGAGGCGGTAATGCTGGCGGATTCCCAGTGCTGGCGCAGGGCGTTCAGTCGGGCCTCCTCCAGGGCAATCTCCGTCTCACTGGCGGAGTCATAGTCAGGGCCCTGAAAGAGGTTATTAAAGGAGTTATTAAATTCATTACTAAATATTTAAAAAATAAGAAAGTTTAATCAAAACATTACTTTAAAAACTGATTTTAATGTTTTAAAAAACAATAAATTCCACACAACTAAAAACTTTGAATAACAACATTGTTTTTGTGCTGTTGTAGTCCAATAAACAAAATCATTTTTGAGACAATAAACATGAATCTGATGTCCAATTTCCTTAATCAAAAATGATTCATGGCACGTTTATCTGTTTGAAAAGGCATCAAAGGCTAAATAAACATATTACTTGGTGCATTTTATAGAATTTTCAATTTTTCAGTATTATTATTATTCTTAATTCAGGGCAGGCCGGGAAGAATATAAAGATTTGAAAATAATATTTTATATATTTCTTTAAATTGTTATTATTTTTTTAAATACTAAAAATATTGTAATATAATTTCTGTCAAGGATCCTCAAAGGTCCTTATGAACTTCTCTACCCCTGCTGCCATGTCCCAGATGTAGATATGAAGTTCCTGCACGCACTTACCTCGTCGATCTTCTTGTCCAGCATGCGGAAGAAGTTCTGCTGGCTAGATGATATTTCCCTGGAAAAGTGGTGTGTTTATTTTCGGTTAGTTGGTTGGCGGAATGGCTTACTGGCTCTGGAGCAGCGATAGGTTCTTGGCGCGCAGTAGGGAGACGGCCACGTCCTCGTCACTGTCCTGGATGTCCTTATTGCTTTGCTCCTCGCTCTCGTCATGCTTCTCGCGGTCGCGCTGCTGTGCCTTCTCGGCATCCTCGATATGGCCTTCGTCCTCGTCCGTTTCAGCATCCGAGTCGGCTACAGCATAAAACAGAAGAAAAACAAATGGATGGATGAATACGGATGGTGTTCCAGGCCAGGGAGAGATCTTCGAGCATTAGTCAAGATGAGTTGGCAGTTTCGCGAGTGCCAAAGGACTAGGGGGAAAAGTTTTGCAATAAGGCAAGTGGGGCTGCAACTTCTGTGGGGGTAGCAAGGAAAATGCTTGGAAAACACTTGTCAAAATTATGGCGAGATATGTGAAACAAAGTTGTGCACTTAAAAAAGTATTTCTTAATTTTGCAGACTTCAACAGAAACTAGAATAGTTCATGATAGGTAAATTGAGTGTATAAATACTAGAAACCAAATAATATCTTTAAATGAATCCCCAAAACCTACCCAAAATACTTTCTAAAAAGAAATAATACAAAATATTAAATGAAATACTTTTTGTGAATCCCTTGGGGCAAATAAAAATACATTCTTCCATACTATTTGCCCTTCTACCAACAAACCATCTGTCTTGGCGGCATTCGGCTGCTTGACCTGTGTGCGTATACTTAATATATGGATTTCCTTGGGCCTGTCTTTGAAGTGCCCTGGCTACCCATAAATTTAATTAAAAACCGTTATGCATTTTAATGCAAAAACCGAAAAAGAGTCGAGAGTATTTATGAATAATTAATCTAGGACCGAGAGCGAGACCAAAGCTTAGGCGGCGTCTCCGAGAAAATTTGGGTCGTTTATGGCACAATGGCGCCTTTGTGTATGCTATACTTTTTTAGCTTTAACCCTTTTTCACAGACACACACACACACACACACACACAGAGGCACAGGAGCACAGTCAAAGCCCTTGGGGGCGCTGGCCACACCCCTCGAAGCGCGCCGCCCACCAGTGCAACAACAAGTTGCCATTTTAGCAGTTAATTATACACACCCAGGGTAAAAAACGAAAATACGAGAAGCGGGGCTAGTCAAAAGTTTCCAATGTAGGCTAGGTTTTTCACATATTTTTTCTCTTATAAACTTAAGAACGTGTTGTGTGTGTGTATACGAAATATAAGTATATATATAGACAATGCTGCTGTGCTTTAAAATGTAGGCCTTTATTATTACTAAGTTGAATGCATGGCCTTAAAACTGGGCTCTGGCGCACCTTGCTCCCCTCCTCGCCCCTGCTGGTGACATATTAATCAATGATGTCCTCATTGTGTGTGGAAACAGGTGGCTCACACACACGCACAAACATATATAGATGCATATGTGTATACACACACTCGCGCACGCAGCTGGAGGCAAATTGATGTCGTCATGCGTGTAAGCTTTTGTTGTGCGAGGCAATACGTTTATCCCCCGCCCTCTCCCCCAAGCCCTTTCTTTGCTCTCTTTTCATTTTTATACAGAACATGTAAAAACAGCTATCTATGGGAATTTTAGGAATATTATTTATATATATACATATATGTTAAAGCATTAATTCTATTGTGAGAAAATTTAATTATATCGAAAATCATTTTATTTTTAATGGGCTTTCTATTATGTTGAAAATAAGTGTTTAATAACGGGTGTTACTTTTTACTTTTTATTCTTTTTACTGTTTCTTTTATAATAAGCAAACCTGTTTTCTATGTTTTTTGTTTAAAACAAAACTTTGTTATAAAAATAGCTTCAAAACAATATTTCCCTTGCTTCCGATTAAAAATATGAATATGAATATGCGTATAAATAAATGTCAGGCTCGAAACGACTTGAAATATTCTCAGTTCACAAAGGAAAATGATCTGCTCACAAACAGAAATATATACATGTATATTATTTAAAGATATAGTATTAAAATAAACCTGAATATTAGCAGGCTATCAAAACAACATTAATTTTGATGGGTTAACCCATAAAAATCATAAGCAAAATGTCAAGTAAAATATGATCGGTATGTGGGATGTTTTTCAAGGAATAGTTGATGGAAAAGGATGCTCATTTTTCTGGTGTGTGTGTGTGTGTGTGTGTGTGTGTGTACTCACCATGTCCTCCTTTCTTGCCGTTAGCTTTACTCTTCGATTTCCGGGGATACAAGTGAATCTTGCTCTGTCCACAGCCCATCTTTTGAATGTGCCGCCGCAAACGCCTCTAGAAATCCAGAATCGCTGCTGCTTCTGCCGCTTTTGTTGTTGTTTTCAATTTGTGTGTTACTTTTCTCGCTGTTATTTGTGTTGTTCTTTATTTTTCTATTTTTTGTATTATTAATTTGTTGCTCGACACGTTGCCCTCTCTCGCTCACGCTCTCTGTCCGTGTGGCGCTCGTCACTCGTCGCCTCTCGCTCTGGCCTTTTATTTACGTTTGTCGTCTATTCTTCCTTCTGTTTTATTCAATTTTCACTAATTTAACTATGTGTGTAAATTTAATTTATTTGATTTGCCGCTGCTGTCACTGCCGCTGCGCCGCTTGGCGTTGTCAATTTCGAAAGATATCATCCAGCGGCAGCAACAAATGTTCTTTCTCGGCGGCGGGGGAAATACTTAACGTTTGTGCGTGAGTTTTTCCCCAGACAGGGCAAATACCACCCAAGCCACCCACCCACTCGGCCACTCAGCCACCTATTTCCAGTTCAAACCACCAGCAGTGCAACTTGGCTAACACGAACTAAGCATGAGTGAGGTATTTATAAATATTATAATAGATTTGGATTTATAGTGATGTGGCTACACAGATAAAAAAAAGAATACTTTTGTTTTATACATTATTATTATTATGCAGTAAATCCAGTTTTGATAGATAGAATCATAAAATCATTGAAAAGTTTTAGAAAATTTCAAATACTTTATACTTTAAAGCGTTTTTTGAAATTATTATTAGATTAGAAATCTTCCACTCGCGATAAGGGGTGTTCAAAAGTAGGCAATAAAAAATGTTAAGGTCTCGCATTGATCTGCAAACGTTTTGTAGCATACTATTTGGAGACAATTTCAATTGCTTCCAAATCAGTAGCGATTTGTGTGACAGAGTTTTTACTGTTGAGAACTTTTCCCCATTTTATTTGTTTTCTTATTTTTGGGGACGGCGGGTAAGGTAAGGTAACGGAAATTAAGTGGGTCCCCGGCTGGCCCTCAACCACTTGTTCCTCGCCCGACGCTCGTCGCCGTCCGATGCTCGCTCGCCCTCTGCTCTGCTCACTTCTCGATGCTGCTATAAATCCAATTTGCAGCGTCAATTTGTAAACAGGACATACCCATAAAAGGGTTCTTTTTTCGCCTCGACCAGGGCTGCACAGCACTACGCAATTCGCTCTCCTTGAGCCATCGCCAGCGCGTTGTTGTTGTTGTTCCTGCTCCTGTCCCTGCTCTTGATGAGGCCTTTTTGATGTTTTGCCACGACTAGGAACGCACGGAGCACGCTAGCTTTGTTGTTGGTAATTTAAACAAATAATAACAATAATAAGCACAACAAATAGTGCAACAAAAACACTTGAATTATATTCAATTATATTCGGAGGAAAGAGCCAGCAACAGCCACTCGCCCGCTCGCTCTTGCGCTCTCAACACTATAATAGACACTCTCGCGCTCGCACGTACACAAGCTCCATGCTTTTTTTTACTCTGTGGGGGAAGGCAGCCAGAGAGCGCTCTGGAGAGAGTCCATGTGTATGTGTGTGCGGGAGGGAGAGTTCCACCGTGAGAGAGAGAGAGTGCTTGCTGCGTGCGAAATTGATTTTTCTATTTATAAAAAAAAATCAAAATATATCCGCTTGGCCCGCTGCTGCCTTTGCTTTTTTTATTTGATCATTTTATTTCTGTTGCCCGCCAACTGCCAAAGGAACATAATTTATGTTTTATTTATGATTTTCGGGATTTGGGATAAATTTCCATTCCCGTGGCGATTTCCCGTGCCGCCTGCGCTAGCTGCTGCGAGGAAACTTGTTTGATTTATCGCATAAAATGCCCACTTGGGCACATTTGGCCCGAATAATAAACACACACGCACAGTCAACACACACACCGTGCATTTACCGCTATCCGTTCGCAGGCATTTAAACACTAACAGGAACTGTTGTCGGTTCTCTCCTCAACAATTATTTACATTCGCACTGGTTTTTCCTGCGGAAAAGTTGCCGAAAAGTATCTGCGACGCGTTGCCAGTGTGTGGAATTTTGTATGCTGAAATTTATGCTGCCTGACACTCCTCTTTGTGTCACAAGAAGAGAGAGTGCTTTCGGCGAGAGTGCGGCAAAGGTGCGAGAGCGAGTTCTCTTCCGAGAGAGAGAGAGAGAGAGAGAGAGAGAGAGAGCGACTTGGCATACCAACACACGCGCCACGAATGGGGGTGGGTTTTCCTTTGGAGCTTTTGCACAGGGGTTTGTCGGCGGCGGTTCAACGGACCACAGGCGTGCTTTCAGCGCTAGGGGGCAAGCTTTTTCACAGGGGGTGGCAGGTTGCAAATCGAATCAAAAGCTTGCAGAACTACCCGCCAGTGCTGGTAGCTCCAGAAACAAGCTCTCAAAAGTTAGCGCTACCGCTAAGTGGAATTTAAGCTTGGAAAATGAAACAAAACTTTCTCCTGTAGTTGGCAACACTTGGAGAAAAGCTATTTCAGTAGCACATCTTCCACAAAGCTCCCACAGAGGTCAGCCCTAAATGGAACAAATGTTATTATTTTGGCGGGACGTATATTCGAACCCAAAATAACATTTATTATGTTTTAGAAGTTCTTGTGAAACGTGACACTTTCTAAAATAAATTGTTAGGTAAAACGAAAATCTAATTCTTTTAAAAACTAAATGTTTGGTTTAGGATTGGGAAAATGTATTGGACTAAGATAATCGAGGAAAGATCTTTTTCTTATTATTATATTTAAAAGTTGAAAAAACCTATAACTAAGTCAAAAGACATTTATTTAAATTCGGACAGCGGTACTATGTTAGTATTTGTTAGGTTAACAAATCTGCATACTCCATTTACCATATTAAATTATACAAATTTTTGTAAATTTGGCAATTTTAACGATATAACCCCTTAAAAATGTTGCAAAAATCTAAACAAAATTTGTTTCCCTCGAAGATGGCTAGGAAGATTCAGCTGATGATGCTTATCAAGAATATATATGATTTATGGGGTCGGAAATGACTGCTTCACTGTGTTTTTCGCTTCGGACTAAATTATAATACAATTTTTTGCGTCAATATTTATCAGTATTTTTATATAAAAATTTGTCCTAAAATAAAATCTTAAAAACTTATAAGAAAGCCAAAAAAGCATTAATTTTGATTCGGAAAACTGTTTTGTGCTAGTTTCTAATAGGTTAATAAATCTTCATACCTACATTAAATTTTTAAAATATTTAAATTTTTGACAATATTTTAAAATGTTATAAAATTATAAAAAAACGAAAAAATGTTGTTTCCCCCGAAGATGGCTAGAAATAATCAGCTGATGATGCTGATCAAGAATATATATGGTTTATGGGGTCTTCACAGCGTTACACGCTTCTGAGTAAAATTATAATACTCTGCAAGGGTATAAAACGCAACGTTGTTACTGAATAAACAATTTAACCTTATTGATAAAATTTAAAATACATTATCAAATAATATGTTGGTTTAAATTTATGCTTTAAAAATCATAAAACATGATAAAAAATAAGAGAAATACCAGCAATAGTTTGCTAACATACTATTTAGGAAAACTATATATATTGAAAAAATAAAAATATCGCGCTCTGTCATGTTAGGCCTCATTAATTTCCACAGCAGTGATTCCTGACCAGCGCTCCGCTCCACTTCCTCAATGGACCAAAGGACCAGAGCAACCCCCTCTGAACTCGCCCTCGTACATTACATTAGATGGGACATGTAGATGGCATTATTTATTGCATAATAATGAAGTGAGAAACGTTACAAATCAAAACACTCGACAGCAACGAGATAAACTTTTGTCCGTTTCCATTCACTCGATTGTCCCCGTTTCTTTTTTTATCATTATAATATATTTTTGGGGCAGAAACGTTGGCATTTTTTCCATGCGTTTGTCAGCCGCAACGGAATTGAAACGTTTGCGCTTTTATTGCCACGGACGTGTGTCGTCCTTCTGGGGGCAGGACTTGGCCTTCGCCTTCGACTGAGGGGTGGGCATCTCGGACTGGTGGGAAAATTATGAAATCTATATGGCCATGGCGGACAGGAAGTAATATACAACAAATGCGAAATGATATCGTCCCATTGATCTGGGAAGATGTCTCGAAATGGTGTTCGGATTTTGTGTCCTGTAGGGATGGGTAGCGCGAGATGGGAACGCTTTCGCTGGGGATCTCAGGAATAAGTATAGAACAGAGGTTATTAATATAACCTCTTAACTCTTGAAAATAATATATTTAAAATGTAGGGGTTCCTTAAATTTGAATAAAGTAAATTTACCCCTCAAATTTTGAAATTATTATAAAAATTTTATCAAATTGTTAATTGTAGTCATCTAAAATATAAATTGTTTAGTCGAAGAGTTTTCAAGTTGAATCGTAATTTTGATAATTAACATACCACAAAATATTATTAGAAATCATTCATGGGTCTATTGAAACCCACAAAATCCAAACAATCCCCCAAAAAAGGCCTCACGGCGACCACCCACCCCAAGTCCCCAACGAATTATGACAGTCCTGCCAAAGGATTGTCCCTTCGTTTAACTGCTGATAAGGGCGACATATGTTTCTGTCACATTGTCTAACATTTTTCCCGCGGGCTGCTACAGCACAGATTGAACCTGCTGCAGAGTCCTGCCAGCATTTAGGCAAATTTTCGCACTCCTTTCGCCCCCAAAAAACAATTTGCATAATTTGCAGCGATTTTCCGCAGCTCCTTCCTGTACCAGCTTCTGCTCCTGCGGATTTTGGGAGGACTGCTGATGGTTTTCGATGACGTTTTGTTGAGTTTAAATCGTCGGCTGTCGATTGTGACTATCATGGGATGTGGGCGTGTCCGGCGGCCACGTGACCGCACGCGTTGTGTTGAATTTAACACGGAACTGGAGGTCCTGCCACCATCCTTTCCCGAGACACTTGGGTGCAATGCAAATGGGGTGCGGGCCAGCCGAGTATTCCAGCTCGAGAGTATTTTCTTTTTTAACTTTTTGCGGACGCGTGCAGCCAATAAGTCCTTCATCACTTCCGCTTCAGTTCAGTTCCGTGATTTTGCACAAATAATGTTTTGATTGCGTGGCAGCGTGACGTGTAATTATTATCGCCGCACACAATCGCCGCCAAAACAACAAAGGATAAGCCTTACGGACTCCAGGCGCTTCAAAGGAGCGGGATTCTCTGGGGTATCCGGGCGGAGAGCTGCGGCAAAGCAATTAAAATGATTTGCCAAATTCAAACCAGCCAGAAGATCCTACCAACTGCAAAGGCTGGGATATTGGTCTAAGTGCCCGAAATCGAATGAGTTCTAACTGACTTGATAAAAATCATTATAATTAAACAAAGGCAGAGGAATGACTTAAAAAATATAAGACTAATATGAAAAACATAATTCAAAATATGAGAAACACGCAATAACATATATACAAAATATTAAATCGAAACTTTTCTATCATATATCAATTATTTTATACTTTAAACCCATAAATATATACCCTTTTAGAGACCGAATACTCATAAATTACTTTAATTAAAAAGAGAAGAAAACCCGAGTATCAAAAAAAAAGAGATTCCCTAAGAAAACTTTTTTAAGGACTCGCACTCGACTGCGTCAAATCAGAAATTAAAAATGGCTGGAAAAAAATTATGCAAATTTCTGGTTGCGTCCAATCCTTTACAGGGACAGGCGAGGAAATTTCATTAAAAACAGCAGCAGCTCCGAAGAAATCTTTTGATAAAAATTAAAAACTTTCCGCTGAAGGACAATTGACAGACCGGACAAAAAAAAAAGAAAGGAAAAAATGGAAGAAAGATGCGAGAACGAAAATAAAACAGCAGAAATTGTAAAATGATGAAACAAGGAATTAAAACAAGCAATAATAAAATATTATGACAGCGTGGAAATGAGCCGGGAATAGGGTAGGCGTTGAAATATTTAAATATCGCCAAGCTGCTTTTATATATAATTTTAATGTCCTTTTCCAGAGCCTCTTACGGTCCAGCCAAGTGGAGTGCGACTTGCGACTTGCGACTTGCCGCTGCTGCTTTGCATAATTATATTCATTGAAAACTTATTTTCTTCAAGTTTTCCGCAGCAGGAAAATATTATATGGGGAAAAAACGAGGAAAAGGCACCAAGCAGTAAAGAAATCCAAGCGAAGAGAGCTCTGAATTGAGTTACAACGGGAGAAGGCGAGAAGAGAAACAGTTTTTGACATTTAATTGCTAGAGAACTTACTGCCTGGAGAAGTGAGGTGGAGAGGGGAGTGGGGAGTGGGGAGTGGGGAGTGGGGCCAGAGTAAGGGGAAGCTGGAGGAAACCGAGAGGAGCTGCTGCCCAAAAGTCCGTCACTCCACTTGGAGAAACTCGTTTCAATGGCCGGACCTGAAGATGCTGAAATCGCTGCTCCGGCTGCCTCTGGTGAAGAGGACCAAGAGCTGAAAAAATGTAACATGATTTAATGACATGAATTATTTATGAGTTTCCTGTCAATCAAAAACCACGTCAAAGCATTTTGATGGCGATGTCAACGCGCCAGTGAGCAAAACACACGACGCTCCTGCTACCCCGAAGAGGACGGACGCAGCGCATCCAAGGAGCGTAAAAATAAAATACAAAATAAATAAATAAGTAAAGAAATGATGCCGGCTGCCAGTTGCCGGCTGCTTTCCTCGAAGGTAGCCTCAAAACATATTGTGGGTTAAAAGGTTTCACAAATAAGTTGCATCAGACTAACATGCTCTTGAAAAGCGTAAACAATAAACAATAATTATATAGGGATAAGTTATTATTATTATTATTTCTTCTTTAGGTCCCTATATAGTATAGTTTCCTAAAAAAGTCATCTAAAGTTGTATCTTAAAAATATATTCCCTCTTCGAGTTAAATTCCCCTCCCTCAGGCAGCCAATCAATATTTTTGGATAAATGCTAACCAATAGCTGAACAAATGATATGCTAATTTCTAAGCTTTTTAATCAAGCCAAAACCCACGTTCAATTTGCATTTTGTTTACTTTTTTCCCCATTGTTGTGCCCAGGCCTAGCTGTTCCTGGTTCTGCCCTTCGAATGAAATCAATCATGTAATTTATGTTAGGATAATATGCTCAGCGAGCAGCCGCAGACGGAGGAGCTTTCAAAATGGACTGTCAAGAAATAAATATTTAACAATAATTGATTTAAAAGTCGTACGCAAATGTACCAGGACAAAGGACGATGGAAGCGGCGTCCTCCTTTCGTTTCGAAACGCTTTTTTTAAGCCGCTTGGCACGTGGGTAAAGCAACGGCTGTTCGTGCCAAGGGGGAGGATGCACCTTCTCCGGGTTTTTTCTCCCGCTAAGCAAACATCCTGGCGCCAGGATTCGGACTTGGCCTGCGCCTTTTAAGCATCCAAATTATAGAGAATATCCTTTAAAAAGCTTTTGACTTCGCTGACTGCCTGCGAGGTCGGTTGGTCTGCTGTATATGCAAATGTCCTTCATCTGCTTAGCGTCCGGAAAGTTGTTTTCTTATTTTCCAAGGCAACCCAAGAGCTTTCCGGGATCCCTCCTTGGTCCTGGTTCCCCCACTCCCTGTTCGCAAATCGCATTTGCATGCCTTTGTCTGAAGCTGACCTCGTCTTCGCTGCTGCGTCAGGTGTTGCCTACAGGATACTAATGTCCTCCTGTTAACGCTCTTAATGGCACAGCCAAGCTGCCTGCATAATGGAGTCCTCCCACTCCCAACTCCTGGCTTTTTTCCTGCCCCACAACTGTCTCCATCTCCCAGCTAGCTGCATTCATTCACCTGCGTTGTACTCAATGTTAATGACATCTCCTGGGCCAATGCATCAGGCCTTTTGGAGCGTGAGCCCAAGAAAAACTAGCTCAGCAGAGCAAAGGGATTCTGGGAAGACGGAAGGTGATCTGGGAACAGTAAGCGAGAACCTATAAATGGGAAAAGAACAGAGGAAGATCGACCTATAGATGTTCTCTTTGGACTTTTAATAATGTCCCCTAGTTTGTATTCAGTATGGACACTTCCTTGGCTTTGTTACTCAGTTCAAAACGAAGAAACAAGTCTTTAACTCCTAAATCTAAGCTTGAAAGAGCAATCAGCGATCACATATACCCCAATAGGTAACATGGATATCCACTCTTGTCATTCCTCCACCACTCGGCTCCCTCTGGGTAGCATCCATTTGGGTAACCGGGTAGACAACAGAAATTAGCATTACTTCCGAGTGATCGCAATCTGCGCATACTAATTGCTCGTCGTCGGAGTTGGATTCATTCATGGGGGCAGGCAATATCATTGAGGGAAGGCCCCTGGTCCAAACTTGGCATTGCCTGAATGATTCTTGTGCTGCTGTGATTTTTTCCAGCCTGTCTAGACGCTGGTGCATATAAGGTAAGTTGGCGACGGGAGACCCGAGACCAGAGACTCGTCTTTGGATGCGTTGGATGCGTTGCGATGCGAAGAGCCTAAGCCCGAGCCTTTGTATTCTCCATCGCCTTCTTGTCTCCAGAGCTCAGCTCATTCCCGGGAAAACGAAAACGGGAACGAGAACCCTTGGCTTTCCTGCGAATCGAGCACAAAACACCAATCATCCACATCATTGTCAACACGCCAGCATCGCCAGCGTCGTCTCTCTGTCGTCGGTCCATAAACGGATGGCCCGCGTTGCCCATTTTGGGTTTTCTGGCTCTGGGGCCTGTCATAACTCCTCCTGGTAGGCGTACCAGGGATCGTTGTCTCCAGAGCGCCAGCGCGGAGTACTATGCGATCATCTCATCCGATTCTAAAGCGATTCCATGCCCATTTGGCATTGCCAAGCGTCCAAAAAAGGCGCAGACGCCGCAGCTTCATGACGCGCGTTGGGAATATCCAAGCACCAAGTCGTCGTCGTCATACTTTCCCTGCTGTTCCAACGACCATATGCCATATGAGCTCCTGCATCTTGGAGCTTGAAGCCTGGAGCTTGGAGCTTGGAGCTGCCCCAGCTGGCCAGCGTTCTCAAGCGCTCAAAGTGTCAAGCGTCAATTGCCGTTGAAGTTTATTGCCTTGGCAGCAATTAAAGCCGATTCTTTTTTTTATATTTCGGGGGCTTGGTGACCAAAATCAATCCACTTTGATTTGATTTCTTGATTGGCTGTCCAGGGAATTGAGAATGCATAATTGAATTATCAAATTACGAGGTGGTGCTTTGATAAATAATTGTTATTCCTGGGGGACTCGGTGAGTCATTGGGTGTTTCTGGGTTGAATTAATTGTTTATAAATGCAATTAAGTAGAATTCAAGTTAATAAACATTCAGAATGTCGGCCTAAAAGCATATTTTATGGTGTTTTATATATGTTGTTGAGATGTCTGTCTTTTAGCTTACTAAAAGCGAGGATGGGGTTGAGTTTAAGAAATCCTTCCAGAATATTATACAAGTCATAGATGTAGATCAATTAGGGTTTCTCAAAGAAAACATTCCAAAAGCGCACAATTAGCGCACACATCCCTCCAAGATAGAGACTATACAATGTTTGGAGTTAGGAGATATAAATCATTTAAATTTACTGCCGTAATAACTCTCCTTCGGACAGTTATTTTATACAAATTAGAAATTTACACTTTGTTTCCCAAACTCCCAGAGCTTACTGCAATTTGGCTAAGTAAGTTTTTATTGCCAGGTTCAGCTCGGTAGGTAGGATTCCTTCTACCTTAACTCAAAGAGAAAAATTCATCACCGCAATATGCGCAACATATACCTAAAGCACAGAAGGGAAAAAAGTAACAAAAAAGCAAAGAAAACTCCGGAAAAAAGAAGTGGCTGTGGCAGTGGCAGGAAAATTGTCATAAAGGTGCAACTGACAACAGCAGAAGAGGCGACTGGCGACAGGACCGGCGAGAGGTTAGTAAATTTCAATTTATATGCAGAGGGAAAAGTGAGTGAAAAAGCAGGCACCCGGGCACCCACAGGACATGGGACACGAGAGCCAAGGATGAGGAGGAGCTGGGGGCTTCAAGGAGCTAGCGCAAAAAGTGTCAACGTTATATTTTCTCGAATTTTCCAAGATTTTTCGTGCCATTTTATTTCCCATCTCTTGCTGTCATCACTTGGCTTTTATTTATTCTTTTTTTCAGCTATTTTTGGTTGCCAGCGACGCAAGTGGAAAACGCAATTTCATTAGACAAATTGAAAAAAATAAGTGCAAGCTTCGTACACAACAAAAACAAAAAAGAGGACTCCTATTATATACCATATATCCCCGGGAACGCAGCTATGTACTCCCTATGTACCAGCCAGAAGACTGACGCCATGTTGTGCGGACCATCTGAAGATTTCACGCTGGTCGCCTGTCATTCGTTGTCCTGGCTTTTCCCACATTTTCCCGGACTCGCGCATACGTGTAGGAGCGGAATGGCATGGAAAATATGTATATAATTATATATATGTATATGTATATCCAACTGCGGAGCAGCCTCGTCCTTGTACAACAGGATGCTGCGCGCGCGTTGAAAAGAGGCGGAGACTCTGCCCAACCGGAACCACCAACACTTGGAGTTGCGAGGAGCTGAAGCTGCCGGAAAAAAAGGCCAAAGAAAGCACCGAATGCAGCCCGGACTCTCCGGTCTCTCCGGTCTCTGTTCGGCAGCACACACACTCGCCTCGCTTTTCCGCTTTTCCCCCACAGAAACAACGATGCGTCGACGCTGATTGGAAGCTTCGGCAAAGCAGCTCGTTTTTGGGGCGGAGCAAATGCTTCGACGCAGTGGCGCCACCGAATGGGGGAGAGCCTTGGCCACACGAAAGGGGGTTTCGTGTCATAACTTTTAGTTAATTCATAATTTCTATAATAACTTTTAAGCAATTTGAAGTGATGTTTTAATTCGTAGCTAGATGTAAAGTCACTATGCATGCTGTCTAAAGTTATACTGATTAACAAAATTCCTCGCACACTTTTGAAGGAGATTTTAAATTTAAAGCTTGCTTATGGAAATGTCTATTCTGATCACACATAGAAGAAATATGAATGATAATTTAAAAGTTGTGAATATCTTTTAATATTCATATAAGACTGCCTAAAGAATATCAATTTCCCTAGCCGCGTTAATCATCCCAACAAACCCCTCAGTCACCTCCCTGGCCACTGGAATAATGTCCTCCGGCGGCAGGACGAAACCCAATTGACCCTTGTCCCTTAGCTCGATGGTATATGGAATTTTGATGCCCTTCACCGCATAGGCCCATTCTTTGCCCGATCCGGAGACTTCATCTGGAAAATAATATGCATTAGACATGATTATTAATTTTGGAAAATATCCTAAAACTCACAAAGAGTGGTAGCACTGGATCCATAGGTGAATACAGTGCCATATCTCCGGAGTAAAGCATCCGAAAAGCCCTTGGCCACATGCATCATCTGGGGATAATGCTCTGGGAACTCCGAAGCGGTGTGGCCCCAGGGAGAAAGTACGTACTGCCCGTAAGAGTGAAGGGATATATAGATCTTGATAGTTCCCTCAGGTATGGAGTTGTTTATGAAGGCAGTCAACTGACTGATCTCGACATCGGATTCCGCCGAAGGACCAGCATAGGTTTCATCGCAGAAATCTGAACTGGCGCCAGTTACTGAAAGAAAGGTAATAAAGTTTACATATAAATCGTATATATTTAATTATTCTTTAATCCTCATTAATACTTACACATCCAGAGATAGTCAAAGTTGCGGTTTAGATCTGTTCCAACACATTCCCCCGTTGGATCCGAGTTCAAACGCGATTTGCGCCAAAGGCGTTCCTACAGGTCGTTGAGGGAATAAAGATAGAGATTATCAGCGGTTAATAGACCTAATTGATTACTAGTTAGTATACGTAATATGTAGATAAGATAAGCGACTTAATAACATTATTAGCACGTATTTGATCTGATCGCTAATCTTATCTGCGGCGGCACTTTCATTTCATATTCCATTCATAGAATGTATTATGTAAACACTCACCACTTCGTGCGAATATACAAATCCATCGGTGTTCAGGACGGGAATGATGTACCAGTCCACATTTTGGGCTATATCCCTGACACCAGGATTACGGGGCACCAGGAGCTCATCGATGAAGTAGGTAATGGTCGATGACGTGATCCACTCGCGGGCATGGATGTTGGACTCTATAAAAACGGCGGGATTTCCCTCTTTATAAGAGACCTTCACCCCTCGAATGGGTCTGCCCTCGTGGGAGTTGCCAATGGTAAAGGGTTTGACTATGTCGGGATATCGGGACTCTATCAGGTCTAGCCAGGTGTATATTTCATCCAGGGTATGGAACTGGGTCCACTCCATGGAGCTTATCCGTTGCTTCGGCCTTTGGGCATCGATGTGATACTGCACATTGTCAATCTTGAGGCTATAGCTAAAGTTGTGGCTGATCAGGAGGTGTTCGAAGGTCTCCTGGTATTCAGGAGGGAGCATAATGTCCGAGGACTCCCCCAGATGACGAGCCTCACGCCAACTGCTGAGCTGGTTTTGCAAAAATACAAGTTAGCAAATAATAATACAAAAATACTGAACGTGAAACTCACCTTTAAGACCTTCTCCTGACTCCTGAGTAGCTGGAACTGCTCCAAATCGTGGATCTTCACATTGTACACCTTATAGTTGTCATAGCGCACTTGGTCAAGACCCAAACCAAGACCTAAGTAGGCTAATACCAGAAGAATTCTAACCCACATACCGTTCGATCGAAAGGCCCAGAGGTAACTGAAGAACTGCCGCCTGATTAGGCATTATCGCTCAGACAACCCGTGGAGCTAACTTCCCGAGAGTGTGTGTGTGGTATTTTATCAGCTTAACAAAAAAAACTATTTCGGGGCGCCTGAAGAAATCGAAGAAAAAACCCAAAGCCCAGTCTTGAAGCAGCTCGAGTTGTCTGAGCACTTGGTACTTAGGCTGTCTCTCAACTTTGCACATAAATTTTGTGCAACGGCAGCCCATTTCATTGTAGGTCATTGCATAATGAAGTTACCGCCCCGAGGCCCATAAATTTCCCTTGGAGCTCGCAGAGATTTTCCACAGACCGCCTTCGGTCCGCCGCTGTCTTCTGTTTGAACATTTTGTTTAGGCCTTTTCGGTTTCAGTTTCGACCAGAACTTGCCGCTTGCCTCTCTTTTTTATGTCCTGTGGCGAGTGCTTAAAGGACTTGGTCCTGGTTGGGGCTTTGGTCATATTTTGCGCGGGTCTTAGGGAAACACGACTCGGTCGTTGTCACCGCATGAGGTGCGTCAACGTGTGTCCTGTAAGTCCTGTTGCTAGGTGTGAGGTTTTCCTAAGCAGCCTGGCCAGGACATGAAAGGCGCATCAAAGTGGATTTCCAAGGGGAGAAATATTTCGCAAAAATGTTAATGGCCGTGTGAAATATCGGGAGAAAATGCAAAACTCTTCCGTGGTCTTCAATCTGTTCAACTTTTGGCTGTCCGAAAACGAAGGGTGAAGAATTTACGCCCATGTTAAATCAGGGATTTAACAGCAATTTACAATGCTACTAAAATAAGGTGAATAGTAAACGTAAAAGTTGAATAAATTCGTAATTCATGAGATTTGTTGTTCCACAACTGATTTCAAACATTCCTCATACCGGAAAGAGTTTAAAATTCAAATTAAATTCTAATAAAACAACTATTGAGCGGTCATTCAGAGTCATTCACTTTTTTATGAATCAATGCATATTCACTATACAAATAGCTATTTATATAGGCCTTTAATGTATCACTATTTTTGTGATGCAGCATTTTGCGGTAATTTAAGTTTCAATTCACACCAGGAGCGATGGAAATAAAGCCACTTCCTAACCTTCTTTTGCACCAATTAGCAGCGGATTATTTGATTAGCCCGCTAATTGCCTTGCCCTGCCACCGCACAGAAAATAATACTAATTTTGTGAACACTTATTTCTTATCAGTCGCCATAAAGGCGAGCCCGGCAGGATTAAAGTCGAGGCAAGGAGTCGTCGCTCTCGCAGGATTACACACAGCCTGCGGCTGCGACTAACTTTCGACGAAACTTTCAACACCTTCTTTGGCGGCGTGGAAATTGCAGAAAACTTTTCAAGCAACACTTGTCGTGGCGCGTGCGATAAGCCAGCGCCGCATTTTTAATTACCAAAGTCCTTGGTCCTTGGAAGCCCAAAGGGGACTTGCTTAAAGTCAGCTTTAAAGTGTCATAAATATCGCGGCCTTAACATTTCCTGCAGAATATAGCCGTTCTTTGTAGCGACCCTTTTAATTGTGTAAAAAGTGAGGCGGCCATAACATAAATCTCGTAGCTCCGCTGGGAGGACAAGTCGTATGCTTAATATTTTTCACTTGCGACTCGGCGACAAAAAAATGTCAATGCCGGAAAGCGTTTAGCATTCGCTTTTTTCTCTTTTCGCCGTGGATTTAATTAGCCTCAAAATGTCCGGAAAATGGCAACCTGGCATGCCACATGCGGAGGCAAGTGTCCTTGCGGACGGCTCTGGATAAGCCAAGGAAGTTTGTGTCCGTTTTGAGGAAGGAAGTTGCATGTTCATTCTCAAGTTCAATTTCTGTTTTCACCAGCATTTCGGGACAGCCAGAAATGGATTTTGAGGCGGAAATGTGACAGGAGAAGGAGCCACGAAAGAAAAGCTTGAAGTTGAGAGAAGGGAACAAAGATTCATAATTATATTTACAGGTTATTATTCTATATAATCCCTCTATTATCTACCAATATTAACCATTAGCATAACTTTTTAGAAGCGCAGAGAGGGGCGATTCTCAAACCCGATTTCTTAATTACAATTCCGAACAATTAGAAAAAGTCATTGAAAGATTCAATTATGGTAATTTAATTTCTAATCTTCCGTTCTTAATGACTTTGCTGCCTTTCATTTCCATCATTACCCCATATAAAGCTACTTTAAAGTGCACGAACTGCTCAATGCAATGTCTCATTAATCCCCCTGGTTTTTTTTTATGTAATTCTCACCTAAATCCCTCCTGCATGCTCCACGGCCATTACATATAACATCTGTGTGTACGAGATCTACCGATCGTTATCACTATAATTATTATTTTTTTTGCCCACTCTATTGTTAATTTGACTGCATTTCCAGGCGGAAAAAGAAAAAGAAAGCCCAGAACAACTGCAGCGGCTAAGTGGTTCCATGCGTGGACACGCCCAACTGGAGCGGCAATTATTGTTACCCCCCGGTTAAGACTCTGCAATTAACGCTCGAGCATCGCCATCTAATTGCCGAATAGGCACGCTCGTGTGATCCCGATGCCATATCCCATATCCCATATCTCATATCCCATATGTGAATACCTTCCCCTCCCGACAACGTGACAACGTCTTCAACAAGTGCCAAAGGTGGGATGACTTCGCGCTGGAGGGCGTGGCACATGCCAATGTGTTCAGTAAGCGATTATTTTTTCAGTTGAACATTTTCCAATTGTTTTCATTTCGTGTGTTTGCTTGCCGCTGCTGCCGCTGCTGCTGGCTGTCTGCCTGCCTGCCAGCTATTTATTGTTAAATGAAGCGATTTGTTTGTTGTCGTTATGCGTCGAAGCGTTAAAACATTTTCGCTTTATTTTTTCTACTCCTGGAAAAATTGTTTTTGCACTGCGAGAGAGTCGGAGAGTGGCAGGCAGGAAGCTAGCATCAATAGCTTCAGGCCAGAGTGGTTGGGATTTTTCGGCACATCGTCGTGCGGCTTGGCTCAGGTGGAAAGTGGTTGGAGCAACTGCCTTCTAAGCGCCATTCTCGATGTGTGAATTCCAAACAAGCTGCGGCAGCTGTTCAGCATCCAAGCAGAGATGGAGGTATTCCCAGAAAAAAACTATGAGATTTTTTGTAGGTTTGGGTAAACCAAGTAAGGACTATGAGAATCGCAGAGGAGGGCGCTGTATTCAAGGATTTGATTCCGATTTTTAAAATAAGCTATCTTTAATACTTGAAAATATTCGAAAGAATGTGTTGTATTAAATGCTTTGTACTGTATTTAAAAATATCAATCAATCTTCCCTAGTTTTCGAAACCATAAAGGTTTTCTCTATGGAACATTTATCATAGGCTCCCTTACGCTCACATCATTGACTTAATTCCACCTTGACATTCTTTCGTCTTGTATGTAAAAGGTACCCACATCAGACATGCTAACTAAGTCCTCGACTGGGATGTGGATGTGGCTGTGGATGTGGCTGTGGATATGCTGATGCCACCGTGGGCGTTTGTCTCCGCCTAATCCGCTTTTAAAGTAAGTAACAAAAGTAGAGAAAATAAAACGCAAACCGGAAATCACAAGTCAAGTTGATGAACTGTCGCTGTGGCGTAGCTGTCCCCGTACTCGTCTGCAAAAATCGGGCAGACAAAAGAGACCTCTGGCACCTGCAGAAGAAAAAAAAACTTTGCAGACACATTTGGACCCTTTCTTGCCCAGCTTCACTCTTCCCCCACCCCTGGGCTTAGAGATTTACGCATTTATTTTGCATTTTTTATACACCACACAAAACATGCGCGCAGATTTAAGAAAAAATCGCTGGCAACCAAGAAACGAGTTGGAGCTTTGAGTTTGGTTAGAAACATTTTTCGGCTCGGTTCAGTTCAGTTCAGTTCGGTTCAGTTTGGTTTGGTTGTCGATTTGCCTGCGTTGACATGACAAAAGGCTTGGATCTGCATACATTTGCATGTCATTGGACATCAGGCATCATCAGGCAAGGACACTGAAATCCCCTTAAGACATTCGGGGATTGCTCCAGAACAGGCCGTTTGCCCACGTTAACAATATGTTAAGTTGCCCCAAGATACATTTCCAACCTGGGCCGCAACGAGTTAATCGCTTAATGTCGCTCTCTTTCCCGGTCTTTCAGTCATTTGTCAGCTGTCCGTTCTGACTTTCTGGATTTTCTGTGGGTCGAATGTCGGTATGGGTGGGGATGGGGTTTTCCCTTTTGAAGGGGCGGCATAATTGCAATTTGTAATTTGTTTGAATTAACTGCTGAGATTCCAATAGACTCACACTTTATCACCATGGAGTTCTCTGGAATTTTTTAACTTTTAAGAGGGTCTTGTAGTGTTTCTTATTAAATAACTTGACTCTTAACATTCTCATTGTACTTTTACTGTACTTGTACTTGTACCCTTTACTACTGTTGTAATTTATTTGAATTAACGGGTTAGATCGCAGTCATTGACAGCCAAACGCCCCCCAAAGACCTCTCACCAATTCCCTTATTTATTGCCTTGGCCCATTAACAAAAGTGGCAAATTGCTTTCGGTTGGTCAGCACTCGAGGCTAATGTCCTCACTATTTACTGACCAGAGAGATCTCCCTTTGCCACAGCCCTTGGAAAGGTAATAAATATCAAAAGCACCCTAGAGGCAAATATTTACTTTAAAATTGAAACCCCCAACCCTGCTCTTCCCTGTTTGTTCAAGCTGCGTAAGTGCGTGAAAGGGTTGGCAGGCGGCTCAGTAAAGGCAAAAAAAAAAAAGGAAAATGTGGGAAAAGAAGCCTTTAATGGCCTCGCTTTTTGATGTTTCCTGAGCCGTGGGTGTTGGCAGGCAATTGGCCAACTCCCCCCTGTATCAATAGATATCCCCTTCAACCATCAATAAGGTTAAGATAAATATATAGAATGGGAAACCGAACGTTGCATGCGTGGCTCGAATTCAATTTGAAGCTATTTTCGGCATTTTTATTGCTTACTAAATTGTTTTTATAGGCTTTAGCTCTACCCAAAAAAAAAAAAACCAGCCAGAAGCCATTCTTTAATTTCTCTATTTTCCAGTGCTTTTTTCTGGTCCGTTGTTTTATCTCTTCTTTGGTTGCTTTTGTTATTGCGGCAATTGCCAGACCATAAAAATTAACAATTAACAGAGCGCTCAAAGTGAACAATCGCAAATCGTGGCTTACAAAATAGCCGTGGAAATGCCAAGGATATACAATAAAAAACAAAAGGAAGCTATTTTTTGGAAGCCGAATTTTGTATACCTTTTCAGTTTTTTACATTTTGAATGCGAATCGGATTGAATACGACTTTTTTATTCACATTCTTTAATTCGATATCTTAGCGATAATTTTTATTTATTTTTTGGACAAAACAAAATTTCCAAAAAAATTGTAACTAAGTCAAAAAGACAAATCGGGAAACTTTCTGAATTTATTGAGTGAAATAATAAATTTATTTCTGGAAATATTATTCTCTTTATAAAAATCAGAAATGACGGAGGAACTTAAACTTGGTTACGATGTTGATAATGGTTTGAGAATGTATAGTTTTTCTCCTATAACGTAATGGTAACTAGTCTGTACTTTTCCATTTATTTATAATACTTTAGGTAAATGTTATATTTAAAAAATTAAGTGGTAATTTTGCCTAAGCCTTATGAGTTGTTAATCTACCCTACATTAAACTCAAACATAGAGCATAATTATGAGACGGAAGACTGGCAAACTGAGCCGGAGCCGACGACCAACGGACAGGGCCGACAAAAAGGGTTATGAATGTGAAATTGTCATGCAAGAATTAGCCATGTTCTATGTTCTGGCCACGTTACGAGTATTTCGTTACATTTTATATTTATTTTTCTTTTTTCCACCATTTTATCCTCTTGTCTCTGTGTGTTTTTCTTTATATTTCGCTGTGTTTTGTGGCTAACCGTCACGTGAGGTGAGCTTGGCTTGGCTTTTTATGGCTCCATTCGGAATGGCAAGGAATGTCAGCAATTATTTTCGAAATGCTGGAAAAACAATGCTAAATGTTTGCCATGTTTGCTTGACGCTCAGGAAACGTAAACATTTAGTGTAGTCGTAGTGCAGGGAGGATTTCCCCCACCCACTGCCTCTTGGAGTGCCTCATATGCATTCATAACTAACTCCCCCTGCCGCCGATGGAAAATGCATTTTAATGTGCGCAAAAATCCAATTTAAATTCAGAGCATTTTCTCCTCTCTCTCAGCAGACGAGACGCGCAGCATGCAATCACAAAATTAGTTTGGCGACGAGATAAGAATTTTAGTGCCCCTTTCCCCATATCTTATGGCACTCTATACTCTATATCTATATGTACATATCAGAATATATACACATATATATATGTATATATGTTGTAATGTGTATAAATCAACGAAATAGTAGAGGCAAGCTCTCTGGCAGATGCAAACAAATTCCAAATAATTCCTGTGAGCGACGTGCAAAATTCATTTGACAAAATGCACAAAAAAGCAATTTCGAGTTGCAGACAAATTGAAATATATACATATACGAGGGTATGGGGGCGGGGGCGTGGTGCTGCAGTGACAGTTGGGTAAATAAATAAATATATATGTACATATGTAGGGAAGTATATAAGGAAAAGACGAACGAGGCTGCTTTCTATGTACTTGTGGCTGACGAAGATGCAGCCACCACCTAAAAGTATGCTACGAAAACAGACGAAGCTGCTGCCGTATGTGAGGGGCGCCTCTATCTGCTTGTGTGTTTGTAAGCTTTCCTCCGAGTGTATACGTGTGTGTGTGGGTGTGTAGGGTGTGCGCCTCGCCATTCGCGCGTTGAAAATAGGAGGAGCTGAGAAAAACTTTCCATGCGCAGTTCGAATTGCAAAAAAAAGGCAAAACATAAAAATATCAACGTGCAAAATGCGCAAAAATGATTGGAAAATATCACTTGAAACCCATGGAACTTGCTTGCGTAAAACTATGAAATTTTACTGGGTTTCTTAATACAGAATTTTTAAATGATTTTAGAATGCAAAATATATATTTTCATAGAATGATTTCCAAGATATAACAAAATCCTTAAACACCTTTGAATTTAAAGCATTAAACCACTATTATATTTAAATAAATCTGATTATTTTACCTTTGCCAAGATCTGTACATCTGTACAATTTTTTGTTTAAAAATAAATTCAAATTTAAGGTATACACACGAACGAATGGTTTCAGAAATGACTTTATTACTGCATTGAATTTTGTTTTTAGTTTTATGAAAATCGGAATACTATATAACTGCCAGAGAAAAGAAGAAAAAATTTAACTAGTAGAGGATCGGTAAATATCTTTTAACAGTCACTAACTCTGAACAGAAAGTAACTATGAACAGTAAGTATCTATGACCAGTAAGTTTCTATGACCAGTAACTATGATCAGTAAATAACTATGATCAGTAGTAAGTAAGTCTGAACAGCAAGTATCTGTGATCAGTAAATAACTGTGATCAGTAATTAAATATGAGCAGTAAGTAAGTCTGAACAGTAAGTATCTATGATTAGTAAGTAACTATGATCTGTAAGTATCTCTGACCAGTAAGTATGTATGATCAGTTACTAACTTTGAACACTAATAAACAATGACTTGCAACTTTTGTAACTTAACACATTTCTAAAACTAGGCCGGCAGAAGTCACTTCGTTCCGGGGATGTTAGAACCAGTTGGAAATTATATGCACAGGTGTGCGAGATTTGTTTTGGCACAAACTTAAGAGCAAGCTATTTAAATGAAACTATGCAGTTATTTTCTATATAATTTAACTAGTATATAAGTCGGAGCTTGGCGAATCGGTGTACTATATATAAACAATATATTGCTGTCATATGAACCATCGGACGATTTATAGAACTATGATCAGTAATTATGAACAGAGAGTATCTATGACCAGTAAGTATCTATGACCACTAAATATGTATGATCACTTACTAACTTTGAAAATTATTAGTAAGTTTCTAAGTATGTAAAGGAGACCATGGCAATAAGGAAATAATTGGAATATAAAGTCTAGAACTAGGCCTAATCCCACCTACAGCTTCTTCATACATAAAATAAATGTCATAATTAAGACTTACCGCAGTAAAGGACACGTCATTGTTTACTTCCTTCCAGTGTAGTGACCAAGATTGGGTGACTTTATCCAAAGTAAGCTTCTTCCTGGTCATCCAGATGTATTTCATTGGCCACGTCATATTTTTGGGTTCGAAGGGTGATCACTTGCACTATGACTTGAGATGTTAACACTAGGTACCCCTAGGACAGACTGAGGCGCGCGCGCCCTTAGCGCCTCTATTTATAGTCCCCGAGCAGAGCTGAGAAGAGCAGAGAAGAGCAGAGAAGAGCATAGAAAGTGAGTGTGAGTGCGTGGGAGAGTAGGATTTGCCTCTATAGATTAACATAGAGCGATTAACATAGCGAGAGAGGGGGAAAGGCAGAGAGGAGCAGCGAGCTGATATTTAATTTAACAATAAACAATAAGTAACTATGAGCATTAAGTAACTCTGATCAGTAAGTACCAATGAACATTGAGTAACTCTGAACAGTAAGTACTTATGACCAGTAAGTATGTATGTTTAGTTACTAACTTTGAACACTAATAAACAATGACTTGCAATTTTTGTAACACAAAACATTTCTGAGACTTTGCCGGCAGAAGTCACTTCGTTCCGGGGATGTTAGAACTAGTTGAGAATCATACGCACAGATGTGCGATATTTGTTTTGGAACAAATTTTAGCCATTTGAATGAAACTTTGGAGTTATTCTTCTATATAATGTCGGTGGTATATAAGTCGAAGAATGGCGAATCGGTGGACTATATATACACGTATATAGCTTCCATAGGAACGATCGGAAAATTTTAAGAAAAAATAATTATAACTTTTCCAGTTTTCAACGGAGTTTCTTTAAATTTAATGCATAGTTATTATATATTAATCTAGAATTTTGTTTAAAATTTTATGAAAATCGGACTCCTGCTGCCATACAAACGATTATTAAAACGATTATTAAAAAATGCAAAACGTTGAATAAAATTATACATATAAAATGTAAATGAAAATTTGACCTAAAAATCAAAACTTAAAAAACTCATAATATAAAAGCATTCATTTGATTCGGAAAACCGTTCTGTGCTAGTTTTTAAAAGGTTAATAAATCTGCATACCTAAATTCACTATTTAAAATATTTAAAATTTTTGACAATTTTTCTAAATGCCAACAGTGCAAAAAAATTGTATACAACTTTGAAAAAATTTATTTAAAAAAATGTTTTTCCAAATATGCCTAGTTAGATTCAGCTGATGATGCTGATCAAGAATATATATGATTTATGGGGCCGGAAACGACTCCTTCACAAATATTTATGCTTGTGACTGAAATTATAATTTCCTTGAAGGGTATAAATATATTTAATGAAAGCATAAAATGAATTAAAGTAACCTTTAATTCATGTGACTATCTATAACCTTTTTCAACATTTTTAAAGCTACGCTTGCTTAAACATTTAAATTACCAACATCCCTTGAACAAGTTTTCTTTTTTGTCATTTTCCAACTAATGCGGAAAAGGCGGAGCTCATTCGGGTTATTTTTGCCGCCCCTTTGGGGTTAACTCCAAGGCAGCCAGTCCTAGGAAAAAGGTCCCCCTGCTGCGATGGGTATCTCTGGCTATTAGCACAGCAGTCAGGATCGGAGAACGGAGAACGGCGACCGGGAATCGGTGCCATCGAGATGGCAAGGAGATGGCCCAACAGGCCGTTTAGCGCCATCAGACAATTCCCGCTGGCTCAGTGGCATTCACGCGTGCGCAGAACGGGTTATCGGGGGGTTATATATCGCATATATCGCCCATATATATACACGAACGATCCCGGGATGGCTGGCAACAACAATCAGTCGATTGTCACAGATATTTGTCATGTTTCTCCGGCTCTTTTCGAACTTTCCCTGCTGTTCTCTGACGTTGTAAAAATGTCAATTGCATTTTCTTGGGTTTGGTTTTCTGTTGATTTTTTCTCCCTGGTTTCTGTTTGTTTGGGTCTCCGTTTCCATCGATCGGATTTCATGTAATTACATTGTTTTCTGATTCATAATTAATTCGATCTGTTCTCTACTCCACTCTCGCAGAGGCCGCATTTTTCTGAGCACTCCGACTGATTTTTACCATCGAACACTGATAGTTACTGAGTGATGATTTAATGAGGCAAACGTGGCATGTTGTGAATGAAATCAATTTCGTGAATGTCCAGAATGTGCAGAAAAAGCCACGGCAAGCATCCCAGGAAGCGAAGGACATACATAGTTGTGAGTACAACTTGCGGATAGCATGAATATATCCGAATGGACGGACGAATGGGTGTTGTAATATGGGACTTATGAATCAATGCAATGTTGATTGAGTGGAGAAGCTGAAGCCGATGGTGCAGCTGCCGATGTGTTTGCCTTATTAGCCAGTCGATTACTATTGTTAAGAGTCTACTGGACAGACTAATTATGCTGGGAGATTCCTTTATGAATCGAGGAAATATGACACTTAAATTGGTTGAGCAGTTTATTATAATTTAAATGAGAAATTTTAGTAACTTAAAAAGAACATACTACAAGTCCCTTGACTCTCTATATAATATATCTCTATCGACACTGAATACCACTTATATTATTCTGTATAACAAATAACTGTATAAGTGTGAAAAAGCCTATAGAAACCCCTTATAATATATTCATAATTTCCCTTGATTTTTATCTACAAAATCGAATCTTTCTGCAAAAAAATAAAACCACAAATCGCAAGGCAACTTTTTTCCCCAGCCGCAACGCACGACTTGTGATTGACAAATTAATGCGGATCACAAATCAACACCTCAACATGTTTATCATATTATATGGCAACCGAAAAAGGGAGAATCCCTGAAGTGAACCCTCTCTTGAACCAAGCTAAAAATTAATTAAAAACATCAACAGAACGCGTCGAGATTTACAAATGTCTCTGTTTTGGGCGCTTCTGGAATTAGTTCAGATGGTTGCCAAAGCCTGGGAATGGAAGCGGGTTACGGTTTGGTTTTTGGGTTCTCAAGAGGTGGTTGTGGGTGGTAATTCACTCCTCCTCACCCGGGTTCAGTCACACCTTTGTGCTGATGGCTTGATAAACGACGACCGCAGCTCATTCATGGTTCAGGGAACTCTAATCAGCAACCCTTTTGTGGCAGCGAAATTGGGTTGCTTTTATTTTATTTCAGTAAAGATTCCTCTTCTTTTTTTTTTTTTTTGATATGCAGATTTGGCTCTGAAAGTAAAATATATGAAAAAAAAGAATGAAGGGAGCGATGATGATGTCATTCGGCGGCTGACAAAACGCTTGACTGATTACACTTGTATCTGTTTTGTGTTCGGGTCTCTCAATATGCTGAGGGATATGAAGGATTTTAAAGCCCTGTTGACTGCTCCTGCTTTTTGATCCTGGCCTCCTCCTCTCCGTTTAGATTGTTCGCTTGTGATAAATTCGGTTTATTGAAAGGCGTCAGTGCGTGAAATGATGTGTGTCAATTGCATGAATGCCACAAGGAGAGGAGTAGAGCGAGTATTTCCCACATCCTAGCAGGAGCAAGGGTCCTGCGTCTCTGCCGAGTTGACAGCGATTATGCAAATCGGCTCAGATAAAACTGCATTAATTTAACAGAAAGGCTTGCCTCTGTCCAGGTCTTAAGCTCTCTCGCCGCCACTCGAAAACTTTAAGTTTCTCTCCCAAAAAAAGAAGGAGAAAAACTATGCTGGGAAATTTGCATTGTTGCAAAATTTTCAATTTATATGCTAAGCAAGATGCAGCATGTTCTCCATCTCTCTGCAGCAGTTTTAATAAGCAATTAAAACTTCCCCTTTGAAATTATATCCCTCCCCTCGAATATCACCCACATATGCCATTTAATTTATTGTTTTCATTTGTCGTGTGTCCCAAAAATCAACCGCAAATTGCTTAACAAATTGTACAAATTGTTTAAAATTGCATCGCGCCACCTCAACGCCTCATTGCACACCCCAATTTCTGTATGGATTCCGGGTTTCCCCGGGGTGCATTCTAATGTGACCAGTGACCAGTGGCCATCACCTCATCCCCTTCGCAGCAGTGCCATTAAAATAATTGACACGCTTGTTCGAACAACGCCTCAACACCAATTAAATTGATAGCTGTCGATGGCGATGCGTGATTTAATTTTATGGCTTTCGATCCCCCGCTCATTGTCCCTCTTAATTAGTTAATAGATTTGGATTTTCCTTATTTCTGGGTTTCTAAAATTTATACAGGGGGTTGCGGCTTGTTCTAGTTTATGGCAGTATGCTCGTAAAATGCTTGCCAAATTTGTTGACAAGTCAGCAATTAATTTCAAGATTAATGCCTCCAAGGAGTCATGTGAGTTGGAGTTGATGGAAAGCCAAGGGATGGCGGAGATCAAGGGACAAGTGGCGACTAAGGGATGCACTTGAAAAATTGGAACAAAATTTAATTATATAAACATATAATATTGTCGCCTTATGTATTCATTTAAATATGTAAATATATTTGTATATTCTTGTAGAAAATGGGTATTATAAAGGTACAAGAATTTCAAAATGCATAAAAATAAAGAAAAATAAGTTATAATGATACATTTTTTGAGAAAAGTGTATATCTAAATTGAATTCCCAGAAATATTTATATTTATTCTTAGAGTAAATAATTTTCTTCCCAGTTTTGCTGGCCACTTCTGTTTTATGTTGGCTCCGTTCAGTCGGAGCCATAAAACTTTTTCCCGGCTTCAGCTTTTTAATCTTCTCCAGCTGGGACTAAGTGGATTTTTCTGCTGCTTATCAGTTGCGTGTGTAATTGTCGTATAGAAATTAACAAGGACTAAGAGGAAAATGGCGCTGCCAATGGGAAATGAGGAAATGGGGAAAATGCCAAACAGTAAAGGGGGAGGCTAAGACTGCTGTCTTTGGAGAGGCTAAAGCCTGGGGCTGAGATGCGTTCAAGTGGCGAGATAAAAGCCCTCGAGCTGAGTTAATGACTTCCAGGCACTGCTGGGGGTTTCGACTTAAGACGCCATTTTTATCGCAATTGTCCTTTAGCTCCTGCTGCTGCTGCTCCCACTCGAAGGACTCTGGCGCTGGTGGCACTCCTGATTCGGATGCTGCTTGCCATGTTGCCAAGTGAGCGTGGC